TCAACAAGGGAGATCCTCCTAACCCCCACCCCCCTGAAATGATCAGTCATATGTACATCCTTCATGGCGATTTAAGGGGGGAAATCTGTACAACAGTTATACATTATGGCTTCTGAGTGTAGTGGGTAGATGGCAGCAGCGTTGCTGCCAGAGAGTTGATGGAATAATCAGCATATTCTGAATCCAGAATCCCAGGATACTTCTACCTCGCCCCATACCCAGGGAGCAGATCCCCACTTGAAGATGGTATATGATGTAATCAGCAAGTGGGAAGGGAAAGGAGGAATTGTAAGTGGGGGGCAAGGGTGGACACAGACCTGGATCCTAAGATCTGATCTACCCTCTCCAGCAGGTCAGGATCCTCTTCTAGAGTTTGGGCAGCCCAGCTTCCCCACATAGCTCTCTCCCTCCTTCATCCCCCAGATGTTCAGGCCCTGATGGATGACCCAGGAAATTACAGTAGTGAGCAAGCAAGTAGGCCCCAGAGGATACAGACTGGTGAGAAGACAGACCTTAAAGGAGAACTGACAACTTAGTTATATAGCCCTGGGAATGAGAAAGAGGAAGCTATAGAGCCACCAAAAAGGGGGAACCAACCCAGGGCAGACTTCCTAGGGGAAAGAAGTTAGAGATTCAGACAAGAAAGAAGAAGGAAGAGGAGGAAGAGGAGGAGGAGGAGAAGAAGAAGGAAGAAGAAGAAGAAGAAGAAGAAGAAGAAGAAGAAGAAGAAGAAGAAGAAGAAGAAGAAGAAGAAGAAGAAGAAAAGCAGGAGGAGGGTTAATCAGGCTTAAAGCAATAGGAAATAGGAGGGGGGTAGGAATGTAGCTCAGTGGTAGAGTGCTTGCCCAGAGGTCCTAAGTTTGATCCTAGCACCACAGACACACAGACACACACACACAGACACACACACACACACACACACACACACACACACACACACCCCGGATATGGGAGGAATAGGGGTTGCTGCTTAGATGCTAAAAGACTTAAGGGAAGGAGGACATCATTGCTAGAGGTGGGGACAGGGCCCTGGGAGGGAAGCATGGGATTTTATTGTTGTGCAGTAGGTAGCCTGGATGATTCATGAGTCTTTTGTTTTGTTTTGTTTTTTGTCTTTTTGAGGCAGGGTCTCCCTGTAGCCCCAGCTGTCCTGGAACTCACTATGTAGACCAGGCTGGCCTTGAACTCAAAGAGATCTGCCTGCCTCTCCCTCTCAAGTGTTGGGATTAAAGGCATGTGTCACCATGCCCAGTGATTCATGAGTCTGAATAGAGAGATTTAGAATCCTGGGTCAGGAAGACTGGGCTTGAATCTGGGCCCTGCCACTTACTAGCTGTATAATCTTGGGCAAATTAATAATCATTAATAATAGCAGCTAATATTTGCTGTATGCTAGCAGTGAGGTAATATGTCCACCACAACTTCCCTACCCACACATGTGCTTCTTCCTCCCCTAAGCATTCCCTATAGAGGGAGGTACCTCACTTCATCCTCTTAGCAATGCTTGTGGTAATTATTATTATCCTCTTTATGGGTATCTACAATCTAAAAGCCTAAGAAGTGTTTTGCCCAAGGTCACACACAGCCCACTGGCCTCAGCTTAGAAGCAGGGCTAATAAAACTTGGTCACACAGGGTTGTTGCTGGAATTAAATGGGATGGTGGTTTGTTCAGTGTAATGCCTGGCATATAGTAAACACTCAAAGGGGGACTCTTTTTTTGCATTGTCAGGTGACTGGAATTTTCAGAAGAGTGTTGTTACTGAATAAAGAATGACTGATTGCAGAATGAAAGAGAGACGGGCCTACTAGGAGGATGCTGTAAGATTCTAGGGCAGAGTTGGTAATAGCTTGGACCTGAGTGAGAGTGCAGATTTTTTTTTTTCAAATAAAAGATGGGCTCGGGTTGGAGAGATGGCTCAGTGGGTAAGAGCACTGGCTGCTCTTGCAGAGAACTAGGGTTCCATTCCCAGCACCCACATGGTGGCTAACAACTGTCCATAACTCCAGTTCCGGGGGATCCAATGCCCTCTTCTGACCTCTGCAGGCGTTGCATGACACTGGTGCACTTATGTACACACAGGCAATACACTCATACACATAAAATAAAAAATAAATAAACCAGGAGTGGTATTCAAATCCCAGCACCCACATGGCCGCTAACAACCATCCATAGCACCAGTTCCAGGGGATCCAATGCCTTCTTCTGACCTCTGTGGGCATTGCACAGCATTGATGTACTTAAACATATGTAGACAATAATAAATAAATAAATAAATAAATAAATAAATAAAATATTTTTTTAAAAAGACCAGTGGGGGGGGGCGGGAAACAAACAAACCAAAAAACAAATCAAAACAACAACAACAAAAAATTTAATTTTGAAATAGCATAAGTTACTAAGGCTGGCCTTGAAGTTACTCTGTAGCTCAGGCAGGCCTGAACTTTTGATCCTCCTGCCTCAGCCTTGCAAGTAGATGGGATTATAGGCCTGTACTATCAGGACTGGATTCAGAGACATTTAAAAGCTAGACCAGGCAAGAGTGGGTGGCTGAGTGGGGGGTGGGTATAACTGAGGCCCCAAGGATGACTCCCAGTTTCTGTTTCAAACAAGTGGGCGCATAGTAGTTAGGGCTGTGATAGACAAGTTAAGGCTGGAAAAGTGGTCAGTTCAGTCCAGAGACCTCAAATTAATTCAGTTCACCCTCTTACAGGCTACCGTGCATTGTCAGTTAGCTTGTGGGGAGACATCTGGGAGGCAGTTGGATTGGAAGCTTAATGCTCACAAGAGTGGTTTTGGTGAGGGAGAGATAAGGATGCTAACGGAGATGTACATAGGCCAAAAGCTGGGAAGATGAAGTCCATTGGGGGATAGAGAGACAGACAGGGTATCTGGTTGGAGACATAGGTAGAAAAACAGGAACATGTTGCTTCTTGAAATTCAAGGGAAGGAAGGGCTTAAGGAAGAGGAAAGGGAGCCACCAAGTCCAATACTTTATTGAGATCATTCAGGATAAGGACTAAACATTAGACACTGGGTTGATTCAGCAACAGGGAGGTCAATGGTGACCTTGTCAAGATCAGTCAGAGGAGGGGTGAGTGTAAAAAGCCAGACAGCAAAGGAAGAGGAGTAGGTAGGTGTGGCAAGGAAATGGAGGTAGACCATTCTTCCAGAAACTTGGCTCAGAAAGGAGAACAATGGGGTGAGGAAAGGGGTAGCTAGAGTGAGTGAGACACAGGGCATACAGAGAGGTAATTTCTTCCTATAGTTATGGATTTACTCTGTGTGTGTGTGTGTTTTGCTGGGGGTTAAATCCAAAACCTTTAACATGCTAAGTGTATGCTTTACCACTGAGCTACATCTCAAGCCCCAGATTACTATTATTTACTTAATTCAATTTATGCTTAAATATTAATATATACAAAAAGTAGCTAGGCACAGTGGCACACACCTAAAGTTCCAGCTACTCCAGAGGCTGAAGCAGCAAGATTGCATGGGCCCAAGCAGCCAAGGCTAGCTTGGGGAATATACCTAAGATGCCATTCCCAACAAAACAAAACAAACATACATACATATGCACACACAAAGTGTATAGCTTGATACATTTTTGTAAAGGAGCATACCTATTATATGATCAGAAAACACAACCCACAGCAGGTAATAGAACATTGCCAACACTTTGGAAGACCCCTTGTGCCTACCTGCAGTTAACAGCCCAAAGGTAGCTACTTAATCTGACATCTGTCACCATAGATTACTTTTGTCTGTCTTTTTTTTTTTTTTTTCCTTATGTAGGTCAGGCTGGCCATGAACTCCAGATCTTCCTGCCTCTGTTGGGATAATAGGGATGGGCCACCACACCCAGCCACTTTTGCTTGTTTTTCAATTTCACTATCAAGGGAATCATGAACCAGAAGTGGTGGTACATGCCTTTAGTCCAGCGCTCAGGAGGCAGAGACAGGTGAATCTCTGTGACATCAACTCCACCCTGGTCTATGTAGTAAATTCCAGGCCAGTTGAAGTTCCAGGCCAGCTGACCCTACCAGGAGACCCTGTCTTTAAAAACAAAACAAGCCGGGTGTGGTGGCGCACGCCTTTAATCCCAGCACTCCGGAGGCAGAGGCAGGCAGATCTCTGTGAGTTTGAGCCAGCCTGGTCTACATAGTGAGTTCTAGGCCAGCTGGGGCTACACCTGTCTCAAAAAGACCCCCCAAAAAACAAACAAAACAAAACAAACAAAAAAATCAAGAAAATCATATGTATTCCCTCTCTTGTGTTTTATTTCATTCAATGTAAGGTTCACTTATACTATTGCATATAGTTGCTTATTTTTCATTATTTTGCTGCATAGTTATTTATTGATGGACATTTGGATAGTTTTTATTTATTTTTATTTTATGTGTATGAGTGTATTGCCTGAATGTATGTAAGTGCACCCGTGTCATACAATACCATGGAGGTCAGGAGAGGGCGTAACTTCTGAAACTGGAGCTATGGACAATTGTTAGCTGCCATGTGGGTGCTGGGATTTGAACCCAGGTCTATCTTCAAAATCAGCCAGTGCTCTTAACCACTGAGCCATCTCTCCAGTCCCCTATTTGGATAGTTTTCTGGCTTGTTTTTACTTTTAATGTGGCAGTGACTTCAACTTATTTCTGAGTTGAAGTGAAAGTCTGAGACACTTCTTCTATGAGAAGGGAGAGAGAGATTAGGGCCATATAGGATAATTTACCAGGTAGGGAATGAGAACTGGGCTGAGGTTGAGAATTGCTCTGTGAGTTCAGCCAGACTGCTGTGCCATAGCATCAGGCTGAGTGTAGGTACAGAAAGGTTAGGGAGTTGAGTTGCCACGGTTGGTCTCTGCTAGGAAAGAGAGCTATAGAGTGCCAAGGACACTAGCAGCAGGCAAGTAATAAAAGGGTGGCTATGAATGCAGACTGGGAAGAGGGTGCAGGGAAGGTAGGGGAAGGAGGGTGGGAGGGAGCTGGCAGAAAGAAAGCAAGCAGAGGCGGACTGTCATCTCTGTGCAGGGTGGTGTCTGAAATTCTGGGCTGTATCTACAGTGACTGGCACATGCTTGGCATGAGGTTGTCATTCAATGAGTAGCTGAATAAATGAGTTGAGAGCACAAGGGACCAAAAATCTCAAGTAATAAGCAGCTGAGGCGATGGAGAGACTGAAGGTTATAGACAGTGTGGCTGTGGACTGGGAAAAGGGCATTCCAAAGCAGGTGACAAGGCCAGAGTGTTGAAGCTGAAAGATTCAGAGAGGTTAGTGTTAGGTGGACAGCCTATAGGAATGCATAGGTCACCAGTGGGTGCATGGTACCTAGTCTTCCAGAGATAAGGGAGGACAGCATTTCTCAAACTGATGTCCTTGAACTTGAATTGGGGGGATTGTAAATGAAGACCCCTGGTTTGGGGAGAAAAAGCAGTGTGGTAGAATGGCACCTCAAGGAGGTGTGTTCGAGGTGTGGATCCAAGTACCTCAAGGTCAGGGTATAGGGTACTCAGAGGACCCTGAGCACAGTGGCCTCTGTCCATGTTGGAAGTGGACAAGGGACACTGAGGGCAGGAAAGAGCCAGCACTAAAGGAATTCAGGGCCTGAGGGGGCTCATGTGAACCAAGGGCCAAGAGGATGATGAGGTCTCAGTCCTAGCTTCCACTCTAGTGGGGGAGGCCCTGGCTGAGGGTGGAACCTGATTCTTTTCCCTAGGCCCAAGAGAAGGGGAATGCCCAGGCTGAGCGCACCCTTTGAGGGTGTAAGGGTGGTGAGGGGGCTGTGGACTCTCTGTACCCTGTTCTTTGTGTCAACGCAGTAGAAGGTAATATGACCTTGATCTAGTCTCCCACTTTTAGCTCCTCTTCTCAGCTTCCTCGAATCCTCAAACCCAGTGCCCTCCATTGGCACAATCCCTCCACTCAAACCCCCAATTCCCTATTTCCACCCTTCACACACTTAGAACCCCCGATTCTCAGCCCTCTGTACGTGGAGCCCATTCTCAGCACCCTGACAGCCACTTTGAGCTCCTTTCTATCAGCGTCTCCCATAGCCTCTTCCTTCTGGTTGGTGCTCGACTCCCTTCCCAGGCCCCCTTGATCTCAGTCCCTGTCAGCCCCCTAGGAGGAAAACCCCTAGTAACCTCTCGCAGAGACCAGGCCGGCCGAGGTCCGGTGCCCCCCTAGACCAGGGACGGTCCCGCCCCATCCCGGCGGACTGAGTCAGGAGGCAGGAACTGGGCGGGGGGAAGGCGCCAGGAGCCGCCGAAGCCCTGGCCGGAGAGGCTGGGAGCAAGCTTGGAGCCCAGAGAGTTAGTACCAAAAAGACCCGGGCCGGCGGGGACACAGGTTAGCGTGGGTCAGGGCTGTCCTGGACCTACCATGAGCGCCAAGAAGAGAGGTAGGACTCGGCTTAGGGCCGCCTAGGCTCGGGGACTGGCCACAGTGATGCAGGCCAGTTTCTGGGGGCATGGGGTGCGTGTTTCGTTGGGGCGGGTGGGCCGAGGATCTCTTTCTTCCAAGGGCTGAGGTGAAAGCGTGTGTCCGTGCCTCAGTTTCCAAGTCTAGTCTACCCGGGAGTGGAGGAGGCGGGGCACTTCTCGGCACTGCCCCCCACTCTGGGAATCCCCGGCGCTTAGCCCTGAGGGCTCTGGCGTCGCGGCGCCGCGGGTCGGTGGGAGCTGGCGCGGGGCAGTGTTTCCCCGTGGAAGGTGGCGGGAGCCACCCGGCCGGGCCTGTCCCGCAACTCTACTGGGATCCTCGCGCACACCCCGCCCCGTGACCTCCCGCGGCCTCCCGGGGTGGTGGCTCCGGAGCTCCTGGTGCACTGGGGG